TCGGCTGCTGGGCGTCGCTGCCGGTCCTTGTGCGAAATGGAGGGGACGGCTGTGGCTGTCTGTGAGGTGATGATGCCGGGAAGGGAGACAAAGCAGAGGGTAGTCTATGAGAAGCGGGGCTTTGTGAGACCTCGCGAAGTTCGGGCAGAGGGGCGTGGCCTTGCCTGAGGGGGCAAAGGAAAGTTCAGGAACGATAGGATTCGGTGCCGGTCAGCCTGCCGCACAAGGGCTGTGAGGAGCCGATGAGGCCCGGGTGTGGGGTCCCCCGGGTGTGGGGGCCTCGGGCAGTGAAGCACGGGGCCTCGGAGGGGTAGTTACTCAGCCGAGGGAACGGCCACATGCTGCCGCCCCCGCGTCACAGCTGAGAAAACCGAGGCCCAGCAAGTGGAACTGTTTCCGAACAGTCGCGGTCGCCCGGGTTAGGGCAGGGGTGCCAGCCTCGGGGGCCCCATTCAGTGCCGGGAGGGCCGTGGACAGAAGGGACGGGACCAACCCATGCGAAACGGGAGAGAGGGGATCAGTTGTGGGCCCTCGGCCAGCCCAGGTGCGGGCGGCTTCCTGGGTCCTGGCCGGGAACCGCCGGGTGAGGGATGGAAGGCCTCACCCAGCTCTGACCACTGCACGGACCAGACACAGATTCCTGCTCTGGGAGGTGGGACTGAGCCCCTGGCACCGGCCGGCGGCACTTGTCATCCATGACGGCCCTTCCACAGCCGTTCTCGGGTTGAATTCTTTCTTTCTTTTTTTTTTTTAAATATCATCGATGAGAGAGAAACATCGATCAGCTGCCTCCTGCACACCCCCCACTGGGGATGTGCCTGCAACCCAGGTACATGCCCTTGACTGGAATCGAACCTGGGACATGCCCTTGACCAGAATCTAACCTGGGACCTTTCAGAAGCTCTACCCACTGAGCCAAACCGGTTAGGGCTCGGGTTGATTCTTAGCTCCGGGCCTTGTCAGGGACACTAGGCCCACGAGATAGCACGTAAGCTGCACACACGGGGTTCACCTGGCGGCGGGAAGCGTTCGTGGGCCTTCCTGCCGCCTTGGTTATCATCCAGGAAAGTGGGAGGATGAGATTTTACAGGCGACGGAACCTAGGACAGAGCGCAGAGCCGCTGCCTCAGGCCGGTCAGCGTTCATTTCCCATCTGCGCGCTCTCATTACGGATAAGGGAGCCGCGGGATGCGAGAAGGAGAGTTAGTGCAAAGCCTGGAGGCCATCTTTGTAAACTCCGGTGCAAATTAGGACCTGAGTTCCCAAGTTCTCTTACTGAGATATGCTTTCTTTTTTTTTTTAAAGGGGTAATCATTAGTATGGTACCTTCATGTGGAAGTGAGTGTCCATGTTCATAAATAATAATGGAACTAAATACAATATATTTTGTTTCAAATTTATCTCTTCAAGATTGAATGTTTCATCCAGACATCTTGGAGATCTGTTCAACTTAAAATACTGTGTGCAGTCTACTGCAGATGAGCTTATTAGAAACTAGAGGCCCGGTGCAAAAATGTGTGCACTGCGGTGGGGGGAGGGGGTCCCTCAGCCCGGCCTGTGCCCTCTCACAGTCTGGGACCCCTCGGGGGATGTCCACCTGCTGGCTTAGGCCTGATCCCCTGGGGACCTGGCAGCTGAGACATCCCTCTGGCAGCCCGGAAGCCCTTGGGGGATGTCTACTTGCTAGCAGGGAGCAGGGGTAAGCTGCAGTCAGACATCCTTAGCGCTGCTGAGGAGGCGGGAGAGGCTCCCGCCACCACCGCTGTGCTGGCAGCCATCAGCCTGGCTTGTGGCTGAGCAGAGCTCCCCCTGTGGGAGCGCACTGACCACCAGGGGGCAGCTCCTGCATTGAGCGCCTGCCCCCTGGTGGTCAGTGTGTGTCATAGTGACCAGTCATTCCCAGTTATTCTGCTGTTAGGGTCAATTTGCATATTACCCTTTTATTATATAGGATAATGGGTAATATTTATTAAGCATTTACTACATGCCAGGCACTGTATTAAGCAGTTTGCACGTTCAGCAGTAGCCGTATGTGGTTCTCATTTTTATAAACGAGGAAGCTGAGATCCAGAGCAATAAGTTCCCATGGTCACGTGCTAGAATTGGGGCATCAGGGTTAAAATAGAGGCATCTGCCTCCAGAGCCAGTGTTCTTAACTAGTATTATGACCCTCAGAAATGTTGATTTAATGAAAGCTAAAGATGAGTCATAACTTAATGTTTGATTTTATTTGGGAAGAAAAAAAAAGACAGAAAAACAAATCCCCACTTAATTTTTCAAATTATTATTTCCAGATGAACTTATTCTTTGAATAAAGCAATTTGGTGTCTCCACTTCCTGTCTTGTTGGGCATTGTGTTGAATTTCACTGTCTCCTTTAGGTCACTCCCCTAAGCTGTTTCATCTGTTTAGACACAATGCTTTGTTCTGAACAAATGTAAATCTGACATTTTGCAAGCAAGATTATTTTTTGAAATTAAATTGTTAACTATCATAATTTTATTACCATGATTTCTAAAGAAGATTGTGTTTTCTTTGAATTATGCCCTTTTCAGATTTTGAAATATTTAATAATTCACTGGAAGTGTGAAACAGCAAATGGAGCATTGCTAGAAGGACAGCTAGTGATTTCCATAGAAGCATTAAATTCTAAGCAACAGGAAAATACTCTTCATTGTGTAACAACTAGTAAGTGGAGGAAGAAAAATGTTGAATTCTCTATCTTTGATTGTCATGATTTATGTTATAGTTTATTTTTAAAATTCAATTAGTCATAATCTTTTATGTTATCACTTCAGGGTTGTTCCATAGTTAAAAAACTTAAATGATTATGTAATAAGTATCTGCTGATAGATTTACAAATGTGTCATATAGGAAAACTGAGTAGAATGACATCACAGGATCCTTTATTTTACTGGCTTAAGGTAAAATTGCTCAGAAATAATCTCACTCTTGCTTTTGGTTTTCACCTCCTCTTTTACAGCAAAATGATATTGCATTATATTTTATCTCCTTTCTTTCATGTCTAGCCTTTAGTAGTTGGAGAAGCCAAAAAAATAATGAAGGAAGAAAAAAAATAAAATGATGAATAGTACATACTTTGATAATACTAACTTGCCGTTAGTTTGAAAATACATATCTCTTCCATTTGGCACTTATTCTTTTGCCATTTTGCCTAAACTTTTCAGGGAAGCTAATGCATTGAGTGACTCTGAAACTAATTTTCTTGAATTTGTAAAGTGATAACTTCCTTGTTTGTTTGGGTTTTGGGGTGTGTGTGTGTGTGTGTGTAGATTTATTGAAGAATACTTTGGAATGAAGTTGTCCTGAAACCTTAGAGGAGGCAGTCACCCTGAGTCCCAGTTGAGATTGGGTAGTACTGTAGGCTCTACAAGACATTTTCTCACCTGAACCGTAATCACATGTCTTCTCTTTGTGTACCTGTCAGTAAACATCCTCAAGAGAGGCATGATAGGTTGGTTTGCTTCTACTCTACATGAACTCCACTCTGACTGGACGTAGTTTCCACCATTCATGAGAGAGATGGTTAGCTATGTGGCTAGGGTGATGTTGGTCTATATATGGTTGTATTAGATTATGCATTGATTCTAATCCAGTAAACTCTTGCTAATATAAACTTAATTTCACTCAAAGCAAAGGACTTGAGCCACACTATCTTTTGGCAAGAAACCCATTCCAAAGGTATTTTGAGCCTAATGAATTTCCTCAAGCCATGTAGTATAGGAGCATTTCTCTGGACTGTCTCTGATCTCTCTGTACTTATTTTCTTCCTCCCTCCCTCCTTCCCTCCCTCCCCTCCTTCCTTCCTTTGGTAGGAGGAAAGGTGATATATGCTTCTCACAAAATATTCCAACATTACAGAAGTATATATTATGGAAAGCGAGACTTTCTGATAATCTTACCTCTTGTGATAATTATTAAATAACATTCAATATATATTCTTCTAGATTTTTTCTATTCACATGGTCATAGTCTCACCAGGTAGATAGAATATTACTTATGTAGGGCTGCTGTAATGAAGTACCACAAACTGGGTGTCTTAAAACAAAATAAAGGTATTCTTTCACAGTTACAGAGGTAAAAGTCCAAAATCAAAGTATCAGTAGGTTTGGTGTGTTTTTTTTTTTGGAGGCTCTGAGGGAGAAATCTATTCCATGTTTCTCTCCTAGCTTCTGGCAGGCCCTTGGTGTTTCTTGACTTGTAGACACATCACTCCAATCTCTGCATCTGTCTTCACCTGATGTTAATCTGTGTCTTCTTATAAGGACACCACTGGGATTTAGGGTTACCTTAATCTGGTACCACCTCATCTTAACTTGATGACATCCACAAGGACCCTATTTCCAAATAAGGACATATTCACAAGTACTGGAGCTTTCCAGGCTGGTGTGGCTCAGTGGTTGAGCATCGACCCATGAACCAAGAAGCCACTGGTTCAAGTCCTGGTCAGGGCACATGCCCGGGTTGCAGGCTCAATACCCAGTAGGGGCATGCAAGATCGATGGTGTTTGTCTCTCATCAATATTTCTCTCTATCCCATTCCCTTTCTCTCTTTCAAAAAAAAATTAAAACATATTTTTAAAAAGTGACAAGTATTGGGGCTTAGTTCTTCAAAATCTCTAAAAGAGGCACAAAATTCAACTTTCCAATAAACCAGCAAATTTTATTACTGGAATGATCCATCCATGAGAAGCTGAGAAATGCTTACATGGTTTCTTTCCATCAGTAATTGCTGAAAGCTTTAACAAGTGTTACATTGTTTCCCCACCATGTGTACTACAGGATGTTTATATGAGTTAGGAGAAAGGAGCTAATGTAGTCATCTACATTTGGGGAATGCCAGTTAAAATCAAGGAGTTGTTTTTTTAATTACAGTTTACAATATTATTTTGTATTAGTATCAGGTATACAGCATAGCAGTTAGACAATCAAATACTTTACAAAGTGGAATCTAAAGTGTCATTACTTTGGATCTTCTCAGAGCCTTTAATATGCCATCGTGGACTGTGAATCATTCAAAACGGGTTATGTATAGCATTTCCTAAACATACTTGACCTTATAGCTCTTTAAATTTTTTTTATTTTTTAAGATCATTTGTTCTAAAGAGGGAATTTTGGGGAATGCTGTTCCTCTAAAAATGTGTTCTACAAATTAGTCTCTACTGTCATCTTTGAATGACAGCACTTTAATACAGAAACTGAAGTATAGCTGAAAATTGGGGGATGGATGGAGTGTAGGATGATTGTTTTCCTTAAGCATGTGCACCAAAAGTGCCCATTTTCAACAGTTGTTGACATGATACTTCTTAAAACTAAGAAAAGGTGTTAGAAGAAGAAGTGTGACATGCAATTGAAAAATATCATGAACATGCTGCAAGACATACAGATTTTGTTAATTTTTCTTGTTAATGTTCTAGCTCCTCACAAATCACTAGTATAGATCTACTCCTACATGCCATCCCTGTCCCAATGACCCACTCTTTAAGATATGGCCAGTTTATGCCTGTGAGGAACACTAAGAAAAAAAATAGATGATTGTCTCTTATTAAATGTTCTATGCTACTTGGACTTACGCCTTTTGAAGTATGTACCATTTGTCCAGATCATTCAAAATCTAGGACATTGCTTATCTAATAGAACTTTTTGTGATAATGGGAATGTTCTATATCTGTGCTACTCAGTACAGTAGCCATTAGTCACATTCTCAACCTTTTTTCCCTGCTTAAAGAATACAACTTTCTTAAGGGATAGACACGTTTGGCAGTGATTATTAGATTCTTAATTATCAGATCACATTCTTCAGTGAGAGGACATGTTCAGTTTGGAAAAAAGTCTCCATGTAGTTCTCATCATTTTTCCCTTCTTAGGGTATGCTTTTTCCTTCACCTTCTTCCCATGAAGAATTATTGCTCCAAATGTCCTAATGATCCAATTTAGAACTCTAGATACAGAGAATTCTTACCTGATAGTCTAATAAAGTATTTTTTACTAATGAGTAAATTGGTTAAAAGAAAGCCAAAAATTTTTATTGAATCTTACACTGGAATGTGGGTTATTGGCATGATGTACTCTATTTACTAGCTACAGTTTGCATTCTTTCTAAATTCCTTTCCTACTGGGAATAGTAATATCCAAAGAGGCAGTACTGGTATTGAATATAAGTAAAAAGACTTGCTATTTGGTCCCATCTCCAAGAAGTTATGCTGCCCCCAAACAGTCATGTGATTTCATAATTTTTCTTTTTCTTTTTTTTCTTTTTTTTTTATTACTAAAAGTATTACAAAGGATATTACATATGTGTCCTTCCCCCCCCATAATTTTTCTTTGATGCCTCCATTTTTACTGAACTCATTAGTAGTGGTCATCTTTTTTATGTTGTGTCTATAAGCCGTATTTTTAGACTCCCATTTGATTCTTTAGATAAAATCCATTTAATTGTTTTATTTATGATATTTTCTTGTTTGTTTTTTACAGTTGCTTCTTCAGAAAGCATATATGGTGGTTTGGTCTACAGGAACTTCCTAAAAGGTAAAGAATTACCCATTTTCCATGAGACTAAAAGCCATGTACAGTATAAGGGAATGGTTTTATTATCATTGTTAATACTAGAAAGAAGATAATGAATTGAGTATAATTTATGGAATAATCACCTATTTATTTTGTTTATACAGGCATTAAGACAGTTTGTTTCATGTTGACTTAATGTAATTGTTATTTAAAAAATCAAAGCAACTATATGCATATTTAATCATATTTTTAAAAATATATTTTATTGATTTTTTACAGAGAGGAAGGGAGAGGATAGAGAGTTAGAAACATCGATCAGCTGCCTCCTGCACAGCCCCCACTGGGGATGTGCCCGCAACCAAGGTACATGCCCTTGACCAGAATCGAACCTAGGACCCTTCAGTCCACAAGCCGATGCTCTATCCACTGAGCCAAACCGGTCAGGGCTATTTAATTATATTTTTATAGTCTTGTGATGAAGTGGAGATGGCTTTTGTCCAAAGAGGAAGTACTGCACATCAAGTACACAATAAAAATTGAGTCTTAATCACATTTAGTAGCCATCGTTAGCCTGTTTTCTCTTCAGCTGTTAGGATTCTTAATACTACCAACATCCACTCAATATTGCTATTTATTCTTACTAATTAGCAACAGAAATGACTCATTGAAGCTCACAAAAGAAATTGTCCAAAACCAGAATTTGAATCCCTTATCTTTCTAGCTTATGCATCAGTCATTATGCCTTTATTACTATTGTTATTTATTTAGCATTCCTTAATATTTTCAAACTGCTTTAAATTGGTCCATTCACAAATCTTTACACTCTTTAATTAGCTTCATCAGGAAGTCTCTGATGGCTGATTCATTAACCATCAGATTTCCTGATGCTAAAGAATTACGTACTTATACAAAATTAACAGTGTGCCTCTGAATTTAGTTCGTTAACTACGTTATATCTACTTCATTGCTCAGTTGATTTCTCTCTGCCTAAAAGAAGGTCTGACCTCTCTTTAGGGGAACTGTACTAGTATATTGTAGAGCCATTCAACATCAGTTTCCTTTAGTTTTCGATCTATTCTATCAAGGTTGTATCAAGGTACTTTTTCTCTGGACCTGGAGTACTTCAGATCAATTCCTATACAAACAGGCTCATATTTCTGGGTGTTTTATTTATGCTAGATTAATAAATAATCAAGAAAACCTCCCTGTTTTCCTATTCTTCAATGGTATGTGTTCTGTTTTTTGTTTTCTTTCTTCTTTGGTCCCTAACTAGTTATACTTTTATCCAGTAAACCTTTATTGAACATCTTGTCACAAAGAAGTCATAGGGCAGTGATGGCGAACCTATGACACGCGTGTCAGAGGTGACACGTGAACTCATTTTTTTGGTTGATTTTTCTTTGTTAAATGGCATTTAAATATATAAAATAAATATCAAAAATATAAATCTTTGTTTTACTATGGTTGCAAATATCAAAAAATTTCTACATGTGACACGGCACCAGAGTTAAGTTAGGGTTTTTCAAAATGCTGACACGCTGAGCTCAAAAGGTTCGCCATCACTATCATAGGGAGAGGTAGCTCTGAAAATAAAATACAATGCTATAAGTACTATTATGGAGGTACGTATGTTCTAGGTGCTTATTTGGTAACTTAGAAGATATTTCCCTAGGCCCTGCCCAGGTAGCTCAGTTGGTTAGCACAGCATCCCAATATGCCAAGGTTGTGGGTTCGATCCCTGGTCAGGGCATATACAAGAATCAATCAATGGCCCTGGTTGGGAGGCTCATTTGGTTGGAGTGTTGTACCATACACCAAAGAGTTGCAGGTTCAGTTCCCAGTTAGGGCACGTATCTGGGTTGCAGGTTCCATCACAGGTCGGGGATTGTGCGGGAGGCAGCCAATCAATGTTTCATACATTTATGCTTTTTTCTCTCTCTCCCTCTCGCTCTAAAAATCAATGGAAACATATCACCGGGTGTGGATTATAAAATAAAAACATAGCTCTAACCGGTTTGGCCTGCGGACTCAAGGGTCCCAGGTTCGATTTCGGTCAAGGGCATGTGCCTTGGTTGTGGGCACATACCCAGTAGGGAGTGTGCAGGAGGCAGCTGATCGATGGTTCTCTCTCATCGATGTTTCTAGCTCTCTATCCCTCTCCCTTTCTCTCTGTAAAAAATCAATAAAATATATTAAAAAATAATCAACCTATGAATATATAAATAAGTGGGACAACAAATAGATGTTTTTTTCTCTCTCTAAAAATAAATAAATATATTTTTAAAAGATATTCTTAAGTTCAGTCACCACTATGACTTTCTTCCCTTCATTATTCTGCATCATTATTCTACATTTACTTCAGATAGCTTTGATACTTTTGGGACTTTAATGATCATTTCTATGCTAATGAAACTTATTTTTTCCCCTTTCTATTACTAACATGTTTCTGGCTTTTATTGTCAATTAGACTATTATTCCATTTGAAAGTCCCTCTGAAAAATCATGTGTGACATGTCTAAAAAAGGGTTCATTTTCTTGAAAACTAATTTGCTGTATAATAGCTGCATTTCTTGCAGTGATATAGCACTAACATTCTCATAATTCTACAGGCTTCAATTTTTGACTTTTCTTTGGCTTCTCCATTATCTAATCGAATTGATTTTTTGTTAATTTTGCTTTTTATACTATAGAATTATTATATATTAAAATATATATTAATTAAAACAGAGCTTTATGTTCCTCTTGATTGCTTATTAGAATAAAATACCTCCGACCAGATTTGATGTCCTCTGTCAATTAGAATAATCTTCTATACTTTGAAGGATGATGCCCATTAAGATAAATTCTTGTGTTTAAAAATTCTCATTATTTTATATTAATATATGTACTGGAGGCCCGATGCATGAAAATTTGTGCAAGAGTAGGCCTTCTTTCCCCCGGCTGCTGGTACCAGCTTCCCTCTGGCACCCGGGACCTAGGCTTTGCTCCGGCCCCAGCTTCATCTGGAAGGACGTCCGGAATGACACCCATAAGGACGTTCAGTCTAATTAGCATATTACCCTTTTGTTATTATAGATTGCCAGTGCGCATCATGTCTACCAGATGGTCAGATGGACGGATGGTCACTTAGCTTTTTATATATGTAGATTATGCTGCATTATATACTTGTCTATGTAGAAATCCATTTATATATTAATTTATTTATATGTTTATCCATTTATGTAGAACCACTTCTATCATAAATATCTATTTGGTGAAACATGATGGTTTTAGTTTGCCCTTTTTGCCTAAGTCTAGAAGCTACTTCCTATCATGTCCTTACTCTAGTGAAGAAAAGATGAAAGAGTAGAAGAGAATAATGAGATGGGGGAATGTGAAAAAAAGCCATATATATAGGTCTCTATTTTGTTGTTTCTTTCTTGCCTCTTCTATTCATATTATTTTGATTGATTTTATCTCATTTTTCCTTTTTATTGAATTTACTGGGGTGACACTGATTAAATTATACAGATTTTAAGTGTAAATTCCACAACACATCATCTGTACACTGTATTGTGTGTTCACCACCCCATGTCAAGCCTCCTTCTATCACTATTTATCTCCCCTATACTCCACACCCCTCCCCCCAAGTCACCACATTTATCTTTTTAAATATCTCCTCAAGCCCTAGCCGGTTTGGCTCAGTGGATAGAGCATTGGCCTGAAGGGTCCGGGGTTCGATTTTGGTCAAGGGCACATGCCCAGGTTGCAGATATGTGCCCTAGTAGGGGACGTGCAGGGGCAACCAATCAATGATTCTCTCTCATCATTGATGTTTCTGTTTTTCTCTCCCCTCTCCCTTCCTCTCTGAAATCAATAAAAATATGTTTTAAAAATAAAAAATAAAATAAATATCTCCTCATTCCCATATTTATTGGCATAATTTAACTCTTTACTAAAATGCAGTTTGGCATTCATTTTAAAAAATATTCTAGTGTTTGTCCCAAATCAGAAAATGTATGGCCTTTTTATTATTATTATTCAAAACACTAATAAGAATTAACAGCCCTTGTAAATAGGGGAGATAGCTTTGCTGTTGACATATGGTTATATGGTAATGATGGTTCAGTTTTAGCTTTTATCCTGTACTTCACCCTTTTGGCATCACGGATCCTATTTTTAAAAAGTTTAGTTTTGTTTGTAGTCTTTGTTAATTTGTTGGGAAAGGAAATGAGGAGTGGTGCTTTTCGTACATTAGATTGACAGGTCCAGGCTTGCTCAACATTGAGTGAGAAACTCCCAACGGTGAACTCTTAGATGTCTGACTTACTTTTAATTTTTAAATCTGAGATTCTCATATTCAAAGATTAAAAAGATATAATTTTATATCTTCCAAGGTCAACAACTCTAAGTGCAATACATATCTAACACTTTTTCTGTCAGGAGCTCATTTTGTAGATATGATCTCATTCATCATTCATTCTTGAATGAGGTAGGTTAGACTTAAGTATTATCACCATTTCTGTTTCAGAGACGGGGAAACTGAGATTTATTTCAGCTTCATATTTAGAAGTATAGAAGAGTTTGTGGACTCACAGGTCATTGGTTACCCTGTAAATCCATACTTAATCTTCAAGCTTTTGATATGTTCTAAACAGTCTCTTATTGCCAGATTTGCATAACACATGACAAGATTTTATAAAGAGAAGATTAAGTGAAGATCAAATAAGTTAAAATAAATGAATTTGTCTTCTTTTGCTTCCTTAATATTTCTTTACTCCTTTCCTTATTAAGGTTATCTAATCATACCTCACTATTGAGAAATGTTCAAGATTTTATGTGAATTTTGTTATATTTATTCCTATTATAGTTTTTGTTGCTATTACAAATGGTATTCATTTTTAATTTTGATTGTTTATCTGTAGATTCTCTTGGATCCTCTATATAGACAATCAAAGCATCTTTAAATTATGACAATTTTGTCAAAACTATTTTTCTTTGCTCTGTTTTGGGCATTTTCAAATGTCATAATTTCTGCCTTACAGTGTTATTATTTTTGCTTTCAACTGTTAATTGTATGTTGTAAGATTAAACTTTGCTTGTGGGGGTCAAGATACAAAGCTCTTGCATCTTAATAGATTATATAATTCTGAGTCCCATCCCCATTTATGTGACATGGCTTTATGGCCCTCATTCTGCATCATTGATGCTGCTACTATCATTACTTGGCTTTAATCAACCCTCAGGTAAGCAGGCAGCACATGTCTGGTCTTTGTTTTTGTTTTGGTTATCAGATCTCCTATGTACGGCCTGTGTGGCTCTTGCTCTTAAACTTATGTCGCATTATTAGCCCTATTGTTTTTTCATAGTCCAGGCCCCAAATATGGTGCATCGTTGGTCCTTACTTACCATTGTGGAATCCCTCTCTTTTTTCTTCCAGAAGATGAGGGAATATCTTTCCGTGTCTGGTCTATAAAGATTTCTCACTTCTGTTTTTCTTACTATGACTGTATATTTATTAAAATTTAAAAATATTTGTTTTATCATTTTATATGTTTGAATGGGAAGATGAGATTTCAATATATGCTCGACTTATCTTGAAATAGGAGGCTTTTATTTAATTCTTTTGTCAGTTATCTTGATTGTGTGTGTGTGTGTGTGTGTGTGTGTGTGTGTGTATGTATGTATGGGATAAGGCAACTGAAATTGATTTCCCTCCCAAATAACCACATATTTTATTTAAAGCTAGAGGCCTGGTGCACGGATTCGTGCACTGGTGGGGTTCCTCGGCCTGGCCTGTGGGGATTGGGCCAAAACCGACTCTCCGACATCCCCCAAGAGGTCCCGGATTGTGAGAGGGCGCAGGCCAAGCTGAGGGACCCCAATGGTGCATGATCGGGGGCCTGGGGAGGGACCACAGGAGGGCTCCAAGTCATGTCGGGCTCGTCTCGCCCAGTCCCGATCGGCCAGACCACAGCAGCAAGCTAACCTACCAGTTGGAGCATCTGCCCCCTGGTGGTCAGTGAGTGTCATAGCGACTGGTTGAATGGTCGAACAGTCAGACACTTAGCATATTAGGCTTTTATTATATAGGATTGTTATTAAGATTTCTGGAGAATTCAGAGTTATTGACAAGCCTTTTTTTCATACATCTACATGTTTTCCCCATTCTGCCGTATTACTCCTTCAAAGAGAAATAGGATTCGGGAACAATGGAACAATATTTTTTTTATTTCACAGAAAGGCTACCAAATCACAGAAAAAAAGGGGTCGCCTTAGGTCGGAAAGTCCATAAGTGGTAAAGATTGACGTAAGGTATCCTGGTTCAGTGCCAAGTTCATTAAACTTCAGTGTAGCATAACCTTGTTACCATATTATCCTGGGCTTTGTGACTGAATTATATTTGAAAAGCACTCTAATGGCAAGAAAATATTACCCATTAAGATTGTTAGAACTTGATCTTGGTAAAGTCCTTTAAAATTTTTTAAAAATATATTTTTATTGATTTCAAAATGGGAGGAGAGAGAGATAGGAACACCAATGATGAGAGAAAATCATTGATCAGCTCCTCCTGCACACACCACCCTGAGGATCGAGCCTGCAACCTGGGCATGTGCCCTGATAGGGAATTGGACTATGACCTCTTGGTTCAAAGTTGACACTCAACCACTAAGACACACTGGCTGGGTTAATATCCATACTTTTTGAGATGATTAAAATTTTATTAGATATATAGAATGAATGCTTTAGGAGAAAGTTGTGTTGTTTTGGGATATATTTTGTTATATTTTTAAAAATATATATTGATTTCAGAGAGGAAGGGAAGACAGAGAGAGAGAAATATCAATGATGAGAGAGGATCATTGATTGGGCTGCCTCCTGCACGCCCCCTACTGGGGGTGAAGCTCCAACTTGGGCATGTGCCCTGACAGGGAATGGAACCATGGCCTCCTGGTTCATAGGATAACACTCAACCACTGAGCCATGCCGGCCGGGCTATTATTACATTCTTAAAGTTGAGTTCTTATATAATATTATTGTCAACCTCACAAAGTAGAACTTGTGGAAACTGAGATATCTATATTTATAGTTAGTTCTTTATAATACTACTGTAGAGAGGAAATAAGGATGGCATTTTATAAAATGGGAAATTTGTTTTTTCCTTTTGTAATATGAGTGTCAGGGTACGGAAAGGAAGAAGAGTTTGTGCATACTTTGAGGTACTTTTTGTTGATGACCCAGGACTCACTGATGCCTTGTGGAAATATAATTGAGTCAACACATGTAAATGCACCAGGTGGTTAATTTATGAATTAAAGTAGCAAGATTTGTTTTTCTTTGTTAAAAAGTACCTTATTAAATAACAATATATTAGTAAGTGGCTGAGAGGGTCATTCGTGAATTTTTCCACTTTTGGTTCTAAATAAGCTCACTTGCTGGATTTGTGTTTATTAAATAATGAATGAATTTATTTAAAAAATACAAGAATATCAGATAGAACTCTGAAGATTTCTGGCATTGGATATGACCTTGTGGAAAGTAACTGAAAATACAAATGATTTAGCAAATGTGAAAAATTGAAAACATGAGATTAAATGTCTTAACCCCATAATGTAATTCTAAATGTTCAAGCAATTTGTTGATGCATAGCTATTTCCAGTCATACTTTAAATTTTGCAGATAATCTTTTCATCAGGGAAAAGCCTTCTTGGCTCTTAAGTTTAATAAACAATTCCAGAAATTCTGGTGCTTGTCCAAACTGTTTGTTCTATTTTGTCACCATTTCTTCTCACACAGAAATGCAATCTATACTGCCTGGATCCTCTGCAAAACTGAATTGGACTTCAGAGGAAGTCAGCTATTCTCAGGACATTTCAAGGGTAACACCTTTCCAGATGACTTTTGAGGCAGGTTTTTTTTGTGGTTCTATAAATCATTGTTATTTTGTTTTTTTTTTTTTTGTTTTGTTTTGTTTTTGTTTTGTTTTGTTTTTTTTTACAAATCTAGTAACAGGAAAGAAAGGCTTAAGTGCATCACAGTTCAAACTTGAAATGAAATAAGGCATTGATTCCCAAACTTTCCTGCACAAATTTTAAATCTAGGAGCTTCCAAAATATTAATATTTGTGTCCCACTCCAAAAGGTACTGATTTAATTGGTCTAAGATGTTGGATTAGTCTGCTTGTGCTGCTATAAAAAAAATACCAGAGATTGGGTGGATTAAAGTTGAGTTCTTTAGGGGAACAGAAATTTATTTTCTTATACTTCTGGAGGCTAGAAGTCCAAGATCATAGTGCCTTGTCACTGTTTCTTCACATGTATATATCTGGAGAGAGCTGTCTGGTATCTCTTCCTCTTCTGAATTTATTTTTTTAAAATATGTTTTTATTGATTTCAGAGAGGAAGGGAGAGGGAGAGAGATAGAAGCATCAATGATGAGAGAGAATCAGTGATTGGCTGGTTGCCTCCTGCATACCCCCTACTGAGTATGGAGCCTGCAGCCCCAGCATATGCCCTTGACTGGGACCTTTCATTCCACAGGCCAACGCTCTATCCATTGAGCCAAACTGGCTAGGGCTCTTCCTCTTCTTATAAGGACACCAGTCCTATCAAATTAGCGCCTCGCCCTTATGACCTCATTTATGCTTAATTACATCTTTAAGGTACTATCTCTGAATACAGTCACCGTCACTTGGAGGGCTAGGCTTCAATATATGAATTTGGGGGCGGGGGGAGACACAATTCAGTTCATAACAGGTGTGGCCTGGGCTTTGGAATACTTTAAAAATTCCAATGATTCCTAATGAGCAGGTAAGTTCCCCTTTCCTTCCTTTGAGTTGGCGGAGACATAAAGAGTTAGAGTACCTTAAACATTCTCCCAAAAAAGCACTTGAGAGGCCTTTCTACATGTTTGAACAATTGTATGCTTCTAAAAGGAATGAGTATGGTATCAGGACAACAAATATCCCTGACTGTGCCTTATCTTCTTTAGGGGAACTGAAGGGTAAACAATCTGGAGCAATTAATGGTTAGTCAGCTCTGAAACTATTAATGTCAAATAGCAATAAAATAGCTGATGCCAGTGAACCAAGGAAAGCAGTTCTAGAAAAGGAGATCACGTGTTTTAGTCAGTCTGAACAATCCTAACATTTTTATATTAAGCCTCCTGATACTCTATGAAGTGGATAGGACAAGGATTATCACCCCATTTTATAGGTAAGAAAACTGAGATTCACAGAATTTAACTTTCTTAAGGTCCTACAAAACTTAAGTGACAGAATTTGAACAAGCCTTACTCATTGATCAATGCTGTTCCAGTATTTATTCATTCAGAAACCTGTTTTTGTTCAAGTTGGTCTCACTGTGCTAGATACTGAAGGTACATAATTCCAAAACATGTTACTTGATCCCAAGGCACTTGGAATCTAAAGGAAAAGATAAACAGGTAATTACAGTACAGTGTAATATGCATCATGATAGAAGTAAGCACTGAATGCTATGATTGCATAGAGGAAGGGTACCTAACCCAGTGGGAAGGGGTCAAGATCTAGGTCTTGATGAGGCTGAAAAACAGGTATTCTGACTGTAAGGGGTTTAGAGACTTGAAAGTATAAGAAGTCATCAGAGCAATAAAGTTTCTCTTGTGTGTGTTTTTTCTCCTTATGACAAAAGCAGTGTTTCCCACAGGAAAATCAAAGTGAGCATTTAGAGCACAAATAATTTGACTTAATCAAGGTAGCCACTATTAACAACTTGGTATACAGCTTTTCCCATAAAAATGGAACATTTCATCCCTAACCGGTTTGGCTCAGTGGATAGAGCGTTGGCCTGCGGACTGAAGGGTCCCAGGTTCAATTCCGGTCAAGGGCATGCACCTTGGTTGTGGGCACATCCCCAGTAGGAGGTGTGCAGGAGGCAGCTGATCAATGTTTCTCATTGATGTTTCTAACGCTATCCCTCTCCCTTCCTCTCTAAAACATCAATAAAATATATTTTAAAAAATGGAATATTTCATTTTAAGGTTTCCAGAATGGTACGGTTTCAAGCTATGGCTATGGAAATGTATGTCTGGAAATGAGTGTAAATCAAGATTATTGAAGTTGAAGGGGCCAGGGAATTGTGAGACTAAATTGTTTCTTGGACTGGTCAACTACTTGGATGTGGAAATCAGCTAAAATGATGGCAGGACTTGAAGTGCAGAGGAAAACTGAGTTTAGTGCTCAGCAGTCAGCTGGTGATGGATGGAGAGAGTTTGTAAAAGAGAAGTATAACCTCAGAGGAATAAGGATTTCCTGAAAGCATTTGTTCCATTGTCTCTGGTACTGGGCAGCTATTTAAAGGTATTTGAAGCCCTAGCCAGTTTGGCTCCATGGATAGAGTGTCAGCCTACGGACTGAAGGGTCCCGAGTTTGATTCCTGTCAAGGGCACATACCTGTACCTCAGTTGCAGGCTCCTCCCCAGTCTGGGTTCCTCCAGAAGGCAACCAATGAATGTGTTTCTCTCACATCAATATTTATCTCTTGTCTTTCTTCCATTCTCTTTAAAAATCAATGGGAAAATACCCTCAGGTGGATTAAAAATAATAATAATAAAGGTATTTGAAGATAGTAAGAAGAGAGAGAGGAGATTGTGAAAGATTTCATTATATATACCTCAATTGGGGAGAAGGGTCAAGTAGCAAGGTTCATGGCAGACATCCATGAAAAAGCTATCCTATATAATAAAAGCCTAATATGCTAAGTGCCTGGTCATCCAGTTGTCCATTCAACCAGTCAAAGTGTAATATGCTAATGATATGCTAAAGATGCTTAATTGCTCGCTGTGACATGCACTGACCATCAGGGGGCAGACGCTAGCTTGCTGCTGGTGTCCGGGCAATTGGGATTGAGTGAGATGGGCTGGACATGCCCTGGAGCCCTCTCGTGGTCCCTCCCTGACTGGCGAACCTCCCACGTCCCTCCTTGGCCCCAATCGTGCACCAGTGGGGTCCCTCGGCCTGGCCTGCACCTTCTTGCAATCCGGGCTGAGGGACCCGCCCCTCCCCGAGTGCATGAATTTTGTGCACCGGGCCTCTAGTAATAATCTGCTTTGGGCATGTGAGAATCACTAATCTCAGGAAAGCCTGAGAAAAGCTTCATTTAGAAGAGAGGTGGGGTTTTTGGTTATGCTGAGTCAGTCCTGCATCTTGAGGTCTATTAGGCTGGGTAACAAACAAAATTTGATTTTATAGGATTTTCTTGACATCTTTACCCATTTTTATATTTATTTATATACTAGAGGCCTGTTGCACAGAGATTCGTGCAATAGGCCTTCCCTTCTGGCTGCTGGCACCAGTTTTCCTCCAGCACCCGAGACCCAGGCCTTTGCTCCGGTCGGAGCCACCTTCCGTCCTCCGTCTTCACGGCCCTGGCCGGAGCCGCCTTCCATCTTCCGTCTTTGCGGCTCCGGCTCACCTTCAGTCTTCGCTCCGCCACTTGGAGCCTATGTATGCAAATTAACCGCCATCTTTGTTGGTGGTTAATTTGCATATCATGCTGATTAGCCAATGGGAGGCATAGCGAAGGTACGGTCAATTATCCTGTTTGTCTATTATTAGATAGGATATTTATTTTTTGCTATAATACTAAATGAAAAAAATGGGTAGATTTCATATATATATATATATACATACATACATCTATGTATTTATCTACCTATTGTCTATCTATTTAAAGACAAGAGACACTGATTGACTTTCTTCTAGAAAGTCATATAGGTCCCATGACTGCATAAGTTCAGGTTTCAAAATATAAAACAGCTCCCATATTCTATCATATAATTAGACTTGTATTTAAAGGTAAAGGCTGAAACATATAATTCAATGGTGGTTTCTGCTGCCAAGGGCTGGCAGCATCTGTTTTTTCCTAAGAGCACTTAAGTAAATTCACTGCTTCTGTAGGTATGTCAGGCTGGGGTACTGGGTTTCTAACACACAATTATAAAAGGCCATAAAAGAATTTGCAGTCAGTCAAAGTGTGCCTGTCTGCCTGGCCATCTCTGTATCTCTTTCTCTCAATAATTTATGAGATCTTAAAAGAAGCTATTTGCTTTATGTTAACTATCCTCTGTTGACCTGACCTTAGGTCTTTTTATCTTCTCGTCTGGATTAGGTGCCAGTCCTTCTTGTATTTCTTTAGCATCTTTTTATATATTTAAATCATAAAACTTTTTATGTTGTCATAAAAGTTATTTATTTGTATGTCTTTTCTACTTACTGTGAACTCTTCAAATTGAGATTGTTTTATCTCTGTAGGCCTAGGTGCATAATAAGCAACATTAAGTGTTTTATGAGTGAATAAATACATATATTCAGTAGTCATGCGTAAGCATTGCCTGCCAGGATCCATAAAAAAGAATGGCAGATTATGTAATATCTGATTCAGATAGCTATATGCATAGAAAATGAACATTCTTTGGAGAGGCAGCATTGCATAGTGGAATGTGGGGTTTGGAGGTAATCAGATCTAGGTTTGAATACCAATTCTGCCACTTAGCGAGCTATATGTTACCTTGGACAGATTAATTAGCTTATTTAGTTTCATTATCCTCATCAATAAAGTGGGGGTGTTTTCTGCTTGCATATAAACTGCTTGTCATCTAGCAGGTGTTCATTAAATGGTAGCTCTCATCATTATTAATTGTAGCTCCTCTCTGGTAGCTGCTCAAGGAACTTTCATGTATTTGCTAGATATAATTAGTGCTTTCTATGACACGCCCTATAATCACCAAGGTTACAGAAGTTTGAAACTGTTCCAAGAAGTTGTTTTGGAAGTGTTAAGTACAGAAAATGCTTTTAAGAGATCACTGCTTTCCTACTGTTTGAACATTTTATAATAAAAAATTTTAAATGAAGGATGTGACTATGATGTGTGCTGCAGTTACCATTTAATTACCACTATTTATGTGTATGAATAATTGTAGGTTGGTTTCCAAATTTTTCTAATAATTCTAACCCCTTTTTTCTAATATTTTTTCTAATTATCCCCAACCCATCACACAGTTCTTGAGCTCTTTTTCAGTGTATTTATAAAAGGTGTTATAATTTATCCTTTATTAAATATTTACATGTTTCTCTTTATTATGAGATTTTGAGATTGGACCTTTTTTTTCTTTACTATGTACCCAGTACATGGCTCTGTATTCTCTGAGCCACCAATAAGAACTTACTAATTCTGACTCTATTTCTTCTTATTATTCTTCTGGACTTCTCCCTTTTCCAGGAGACACTTTCCAATTTTGGTTTTAGGGACACAATATTAAAAATACTGAGTTAGTATAGGGAAGTGGTTAATACTAAAGCTTTGGAGCCAGATTTGGTATGCTTGCAAAAGTTTTAACTTCTTTGAAACTCACTTTTTTCATCCTGAAAATATTGGTTATAGGTAATACAAATAAGATACTTTAGCATTATTTCTGGAATAGAGAAAGCCTTCATTGGATAGTAAATCTTACTATATTTATAAGTATGTGTCAGGGTATATTGGAAAGAGCATGGGCAAATTTGTTTTAGATAGATTAAGGATCAAATTCTGGCTCTAACACTGAACAGTTTAGTGACCTTAGGCAAGTTGCTTAACTTCTCTGAGCCTCAATTTGTTTTTGTTTTAAATCTACAAAGAAGGAATAGTAATACCTACCTCCAGGATTGCTGGGAGATAATGTGTATATAGCACCTGCACAATGCTTGCCATTTAGTAGGCATTCAAGAAGTGGTATCTATTATTATTATTACCATGTATAACATACTAGGGGCCCAGTGCACGAAATCATGCACCTTAAAAGGAACTGTGGGCCCCAAGGGTGTGGTGGGCACAAGGGTAGGTCTCAGCCCATCCTCCGTGCCCCTGCCTGGCCCCTCCCACCGTGGCCCCTGGTCCCCTCTCTACCGGCAGCCCCGTTCCCACCACTCCTATGTGCTGACAGCGCTGGCCCGCTCACACCCGCTGACATCATGGAGCAATTGGGGCTGGCACCAGCAGTGGGTGCGAGCGGCAGCTGCTGCCCCGATTACCCTTCAGGAGCAGGGGAAGGGGGAGAAGCCCTCAGGGGCGATTGGGGCCGGCAGCCACAGCTTGCACCCACTGATGGAGCTGAGCTATCGGGGCTGGTGCCAGCAGCAGGTGCGTCAGGTGGGATCGTGGCACACAGGAGCAAAGAATTTTCAGTAATCACCAGAGGCTCACCCTGATGACAGCAACTGGCACCCTGCCTTGGTCTGGCACCCCTGCTCACCTGCTCCACCATCCCACTATGGCCGACACCCGCCATGTTCCACACTCTGTTTCCTGCTGCCGACGTCTGCCATGTTCCGTGTGCGCCCCCTGGTGGTCAGTGCACATCATAGCGACCAGTTGTTAGTTATTCCGCCATTCGGTCTATTTGCATATTAGGGTTTTATATTTTGCATATTAGGGTTCTATATATATATATATTTTTCAGATTATTTGATCCTTAAAACAGTTCTGTGAGGTAAAAGGGTATTACCCCTCTTTTGCAGATTAGGAAATACGGTCCAGAGCAGTTAAGTGATTTTTTATCCATGGTCACTTAAGTAATTTTTTATACATGTTTTTTAAAATTGATTTTAGAGAGAGAGGAAGGGAGAGTGATAGAGAGCTAGAAATATCTATCAGCTGCCTCCTGCATGCCGTTTACTGGGGATCAAGCCTGCAACCCAGGCATGTGCCTGACCAAGAATCGATCCAGTGACCTCTTGGTTCATGGGTAGAAGCTCAACCACTGAGCCACGCCAGCCAGGCTTCACTCATATTCTTAATACAAATGTTATTTTTCTCAGGTTCATTCTGAATTACTTTAAATTACTTTTAAATTTGTTCCTGCAGGTAATTTTGATATTGTGGGTTTTACTATAATCATTGTTCATGTGTCTCCTGAAGGTCAATAAAATAAGTACTTTAACCTAAGAAGTGATGGCTATTAGATTCCCTTTTGTGTCTAATTCTAAGACCCAAAGATGTTTCCCCTTGAATGTCTGAAAAGCTTTCTGAGGTGTTATTTTTATAGGAAGAAATACCATAATTTGATTCATTTGTGCTTTTGAGTTTGTGTATAAGTGGTGGATGTTTTGTTGTGTTGTTACAGGTTGATGAAAAGCCAAGAACTTTGATGACAGATAGTCTGGTTATAAAGAATTTTTTACGCAAAATTGTCATGGTGCACCCTAAGGTAAGCTGTTATTTTGCACAATAAAGATTCTCTTATTTAAGTCATGTTTTTTTTAGTATTTTATTTTATTTTGTTCTTTGTTGTTTTGTTTGTTTGTTAATCCTTACCCGAAGATATTTTTCCATTGATTTTTTTTTTAGAGAAAGTGGAAGGGAAGGGAGAGACAGAGAGAGAGAGAGAGAGAGAGAGAGGGAGAGAGAGAGAAACATCGATGTGAGAGAGACACATCGATAACCGCCCTCACACACGAGCCCCAACTAGGGCTGGGGACTGAGCCTGCAACTGAGGTACGTGCCCTTTGATTGGAATTGAACCCGCAGTCCTTCAGACTGCGCGCCGACACTCTATCCACTGAACCAAATCGGCTAGGGCTAAGTCATGTTTTCAAGAGACCTCTACTCTGTAAAACATGGAAGGACCTAGTTGATTCTCTTTCTTTTAATGACATGATTACAACTTTTAATATTGAATCAATTTGGTTTCTGTGTCCCTAAGGCAATCTTGATGTTGGTGATGTGACATAGTTGGGAGCCCTTGGATACAGAGAGATTCTCTTTTGGATTCGTATTCTTATTTCTTTACTTTTTTGTTGTTGTTAATCCTCACCAGAGGATATTTTTCCATTGCTTTTTCTGAGAGAAAAAAAAAAGGGAGGGAGGGGAGAGAGAGAGAGAGAGAGAGAGAGAGAGAGAGAAGAGAAGAGAAGAGAAGAGAGAGAGAAACATAGATGTGAGAGATGCATCGACTGGTTGCCTCCCACACGCGCTCCTACTGAAGGTGGGGAGCGAACACACAACCCAGTTGTGTGTGCCCTTGACTGGGAATCGAATCTGAGACTCTTTGGTCCTTAGGCTGAGGCTCTAATCATCCATCAAAACTGGCCAGGGGCTTCTTTACTGTTTTATTGTATCAATTTGGGTATTTCTTTCCACTCCTCTGTGTTTCATTCTTTTTTTGTTAAACCTGGCTTTTCTAAAGTGACTAGTAGCCCGGTTCACAAAATTCGTGCACATTAAAAGGGAATTAATTGCCCTAACTGGTTTGGCTCAGTGGATAGAGCATCAGCCTGCAGACTAAAGGGT